ATGCTCAACAAACAATTGTCTTGCTCAACAAACAATTGTCTTGAAAAGACTCAACATTCAACTGCCATATTACTGAAAGTGCTTTTTACTCTATCTAGATTCCCGATAACTCTTCTTGGTTGAGTTCTTTGAAGTTGATCAGGATCAAAGAAGAGTGTTTCTGCCCGGTTTTGAGCCGGGGACCTTTCGCGTGTTAGGCGAACGTGATGACCAATACACTACAGAAACTGCTGGAAAGCTAAGTACACGTTTGCGCGTAGATGCAACATTGATATTTAATTGTAAACCTTCAAAACGACGGACCACATGTTGATTTCTGAGACTCTGAGAGATTTTACACTGGATCCAGTCACAGCTGCAGCGTCATTGACTTTCGTGACAGCAACTGTATACTGAACCCAAATGCTATCCTGGATATGACCTGTAACCCCTCGAAGAGCGCCACGTAGGGTTGACGTGCCAGGATTGCTACTAGAACATTCCTCGTTAGTATAGTGGACAGTATCTCTGCTTGTCACGCAGAAGACCGGGGTTCGATTCCCCGACGGGGAGAATTTTCAATAACAGCCAGCCTTTATTCACCAAAGGAGGCAAGCATCAATCAACTCATGAACGAGGATGCCACCAAGAGGCCCTTGGAAACACTTTCGGATAAGCGCGTACCTGAACCATGGCAACTGAAATTTCGTATGGTCATCATTATAATATCCATGACAAAGCTACCAAGAGCATGCTTCAAATCATTGAAGGAGAATTACAATCAATGACCACTGCAATGTGCTCAACGATTGCACTTTTGACAGACAAAATCAAGCAAGGAAAGAAATCCCTTTATATTTTCCATTTTGACCGGACAAACTATGAGCAGGAACGAAAAGAAAGTCCTTGGTTGCAGAATTGAAGTACCCTCAGCATAACTGCTATTAACAACCTTCAGTTGTTCACAGGACGACATGCCTCTTCGATTTGAATACACGGAGAGCCAAAGCCGTACAATTCAAAAGCCATGCTCAACAAACAATTGTCTTGAAAAGACTCAACATTCAACTGCCATATTACTGAAAGTGCTTTTTACTCTATCTAGATTCCCGATAACTCTTCTTGGTTGAGTTCTTTGAAGTTGATCAGGATCAAAGAAGAGTGTTTCTGCCCGGTTTTGAGCCGGGGACCTTTCGCGTGTTAGGCGAACGTGATGACCACTACACTACAGAAACTGCTGGAAAGCTAAGTACACGTTTGCGCGTAGATGCAACATTGATATTTAATTGTAAACCTTCAAAACGACGGACCACATGTTGATTTCTGAGACTCTGAGAGATTTTACACTGGATCCAGTCACAGCTGCAGCGTCATTGACTTTCGTGACAGCAACTGTATACTGAACCCAAATGCTATCCTGGATATGACCTGTAACCCCTCGAAGAGCGCCACGTAGGGTTGACGTGCTAGGATTGCTACTAGAACATTCCTCGTTAGTATAGTGGACAGTATCTCTGCTTGTCACGCAGAAGACCGGGGTTCGATTCCCCGACGGGGAGAATTTTCAATAACAGCCAGCCTTTATTCACCAAAGGAGGCAAGCATCAATCAACTCATGAACGAGGATGCCACCAAGAGGCCCTTGGAAACACTTTCGGATAAGCGCGTACCTGAACCATGGCAACTGAAATTTCGTATGGTCATCATTATAATATCCATGACAAAGCTACCAAGAGCATGCTTCAAATCATTGAAGGAGAATTACAATCAATGACCACTGCAATGCGCTCAACGATTGCACTTTTGACAGACAAAATCAAGCAAGGAAAGAAATCCCTTTATATTTTCCATTTTGACCGGACAAACTATGAGCAGGAACGAAAAGAAAGTCCTTGGTTGCAGAATTGAAGTACCCTGAGCATAACTGCTATTAACAACCTTCAGTTGTTCACAGGACGACATGCCTCTTCGATTTGAATACACGGAGAGCCAAAGCCGTACAATTCAAAAGCCATGCTCAACAAACAATTGTCTTGAAAAGACTCAACATTCAACTGCCATATTACTGAAAGTGCTTTTTACTCTATCTAGATTCCCGATAACTCTTCTTGGTTGAGTTCTTTGAAGTTGATCAGGATCAAAGAAGAGTGTTTCTGCCCGGTTTTGAGCCGGGGACCTTTCGCGTGTTAGGCGAACGTGATGACCACTACACTACAGAAACTGCTGGAAAGCTAAGTACACGTTTGCGCGTAGATGCAACATTGATATTTAATTGTAAACCTTCAAAACGACGGACCACATGTTGATTTCTGAGACTCTGAGAGATTTTACACTGGATCCAGTCACAGCTGCAGCGTCATTGACTTTCGTGACAGCAACTGTATACTGAACCCAAATGCTATCCTGGATATGACCTGTAACCCCTCGAAGAGCGCCACGTAGGGTTGACGTGCTAGGATTGCTACTAGAACATTCCTCGTTAGTATAGTGGACAGTATCTCTGCTTGTCACGCAGAAGACCGGGGTTCGATTCCCCGACGGGGAGAATTTTCAATAACAGCCAGCCTTTATTCACCAAAGGAGGCAAGCATCAATCAACTCATGAACGAGGATGCCACCAAGAGGCCCTTGGAAACACTTTCGGATAAGCGCGTACCTGAACCATGGCAACTGAAATTTCGTATGGTCATCATTATAATATCCATGACAAAGCTACCAAGAGCATGCTTCAAATCATTGAAGGAGAATTACAATCAATGACCACTGCAATGCGCTCAACGATTGCACTTTTGACAGACAAAATCAAGCAAGGAAAGAAATCCCTTTATATTTTCCATTTTGACCGGACAAACTATGAGCAGGAACGAAAAGAAAGTCCTTGGTTGCAGAATTGAAGTACCCTGAGCATAACTGCTATTAACAACCTTCAGTTGTTCACAGGACGACATGCCTCTTCGATTTGAATACACGGAGAGCCAAAGCCGTACAATTCAAAAGCCATGCTCAACAAACAATTGTCTTGAAAAGACTCAACATTCAACTGCCATATTACTGAAAGTGCTTTTTACTCTATCTAGATTCCCGATAACTCTTCTTGGTTGAGTTCTTTGAAGTTGATCAGGATCAAAGAAGAGTGTTTCTGCCCGGTTTTGAGCCGGGGACCTTTCGCATGTTAGGCGAACGTGATGACCACTACACTACAGAAACTGCTGGAAAGCTAAGTACACGTTTGCGCGTAGATGCAACATTGATATTTCATTGTAAACCTTCAAAACGACGGACCACATGTTGATTTCTGAGACTCTGAGAGATTTTACACTGGATCCAGTCACAGCTGCAGCGTCATTGACTTTCGTGACAGCAACTGTATACTGAACCCAAATGCTATCCTGGATATGACCTGTAACCCCTCGAAGAGAGCCACGTAGGGTTGACGTGCTAGGATTGCTACTAGAACATTCCTCGTTAGTATAGTGGACAGTATCTCTGCTTGTCACGCAGAAGACCGGGGTTCGATTCCCCGACGGGGAGAATTTTCAATAACAGCCAGCCTTTATTCACCAAAGGAGGCAAGCATCAATCAACTCATGAACGAGGATGCCACCAAGAGGCCCTTGGAAACACTTTCGGATAAGCGCGTACCTGAACCATGGCAACTGAAATTTCGTATGGTCATCATTATAATATCCATGACAAAGCTACCAAGAGCATGCTTCAAATCATTGAAGGAGAATTACAATCAATGACCACTGCAATGCGCTCAACGATTGCACTTTTGACAGACAAAATCAAGCAAGGAAAGAAATCCCTTTATATTTTCCATTTTGACCGGACAAACTATGAGCAGCAACGAAAAGAAAGTCCTTGGTTGCAGAATTGAAGTACCCTGAGCATAACTGCTATTAACAACCTTCAGTTGTTCACAGGACGACATGCCTCTTCGATTTGAATACACGGAGAGCCAAAGCCGTACAATTCAAAAGCCATGCTCAACAAACAATTGTCTTGAAAAGACTCAACATTCAACTGCCATATTACTGAAAGTGCTTTTTACTCTATCTAGATTCCCGATAACTCTTCTTGGTTGAGTTCTTTGAAGTTGATCAGGATCAAAGAAGAGTGTTTCTGCCCGGTTTTGAGCCGGGGACCTTTCGCGTGTTAGGCGAACGTGATGACCACTACACTACAGAAACTGCTTGAAAGCTAAGTACACGTTTGCGCGTAGATGCAACATTGATATTTAATTGTAAACCTTCAAAACGACGGACCACATGTTGATTTCTGAGACTCTGAGAGATTTTACACTGGATCCAGTCACAGCTGCAGCGTCATTGACTTTCGTGACAGCAACTGTATACTGAACCCAAATGTTATCCTGGATATGACCTGTAACCCCTCGAAGAGCGCCACGTAGGGTTGACATGCTAGGATTGCTACTAGAACATTCCTCGTTAGTATAGTGGACAGTATCTCTGCTTGTCACGGAGGGGCAAGACGTGCTTAGGTGGCATAGAGTGACAGCCAATGCGCGACGTGCTTAGGTGGCATAGTGACAGCCAATGCGAGACGTGCTTAGGACAGCCAATAAAATTGCAGCATTACTGAAGCTGTGAACCGCCGTCTTAGCCAGCTGAGATTTCTTCTGTTCGCAGGTTCGACACCCGGTTGGGGCAAAGTCTGTGATACATTATCAAAGATAAAGAGCTATCTATGAATCAAGAAATGTGAATCCTAATGTGTTATAGTAACTGTTATTGTGTTTATATTTATTTATTACCTTCAAAAGAAAAACTCAGAAGGTATTATTTATATTTAAGATATGGACCATGTAGTATAAATCATTTACTTATGAATGAGACATGTATATATTAATCAAGAAAACATCTTATCCTAATGTGTTATAGTAACTGTTATTGTGTTTATATTTATTTAAATATAAAGAAAAACTCAGAAGGTATTATTTATATTTAAGATATGGACCATGTAGTATAAATCATTTACTTATGAATGAGACATGTAGATATGAATCAAGAAAACATCTTTATTATAAACAACAGAAAGGATGACAATTTGGCATTAACAGACACACAGGAGGCAGTCTGTCAGGTAGTGTGCAGACACAGAGATCCCGTTCCAGCCATCAGAGTCCCCATACTCTCCAAAGGGAGACAATTGCCGAAGGAACTGGGTAATTGTCTTCTGGTCGTACTTTCCTTCCTCACCATCCATGATGTTCTTACAGCTGAGGAGGTACGCCAGGTCAGCCCGTTCATATTTCAGGTGCATCATCTCCGTGATCTGCTTTGCCATATCAGTGGGTGACTTACCGGTGCGCCTGAGCTCGTCCAGTACCGACTTACAGATGGCTTTCTTGTAAGTCAGTACTGCTGGCAGCAGGTTGGTGAACCTCTTGGGGAGCTTTTCCAGCCAGGATGGGTTGTCGGCATACCACCTCTTCCGGCAGACTTTGCAGCAGAGCCTTGAAGACAGCAAGTAGTACTGTCCGGTGATGCCGACAATCACACGAGGCCTACCAACACCAGCAGAGGCAATTTGAGGCTGAGCACAGCCGTCAATACACGGCAGAGTGTAGTTGTTCCTCAGCCGTCCCATCAAATTGTCATTTTCTGGCTTCCAGATGAAAAAGGGATGGAGCTGAAAATACTTGGCGCAGGGAAGATCATCAACACTGTCAATCAGCTCTGGCTGGGGAGGGCGACGCCACAATGACACCATCTTCAGAGGGTTGCGTACAGGAACGGACAGTTCCACTGACTGACATCCTGGTTGTAGGCAGGAAGCGGAGGAGGAGGAGGAGGAGGAGGAGGAGGAGGAGGAGGAGGAGGAGGAGGAGGACAGCTGGGGACCGTTGATGGCCTGGGTAATGGCTGACCTAGGCAGACAATAAATAAAAACACATGGCAAATAATTACGATATTGTGTGTGTGTGTGTGTGAGATTTTGTGAAAAATGATTTCTAGCAAGTACACATCCAAATGAGAAACATTCAAACACTTGAAGGTGCCTCAAAAATGTGATGTATTGTTATTATTACTCACTTTGTGTTGGTGCAGCTGGTGGATGCAGTGTCGGTTGACAGGGCTCTGCAGAAATCTCAGGAGCCACTATAGAAAATATTAAAACATGTCATTATTATCAACAGTAAAATAAAGAAATAATGTTGTATGACGCTTAGCATCTTCACTGTAGTCAGCAAACTGTACAAGGTGCAAAGAGTCAAACATATACACACCTGGAACAGTGATGTTGGTCTCTGTTGGTGTCGGGGCGGATGGTTCCGGCATCAGAAACATCAGCTCCTTTGGTAGGGGCACAAGTCTCTTTACAGGAAGAGCAGGGGCTGCATGGAGGGATAGCCAAAAGATTTTTGCATTTTATCTGTCAAGAAGAAAATATATATCAGTGAGTTAATGATGTTCACAGGTGGGGTCTAATAGAGAGCAGACTTTAACTGTCTGCACATTCACATTGTGCTATGATATATGTAGTGCTATTTTACTTTGGATCAGATATTGTTGATCTTTGTTCCTGTATGTCTGGAGCTGTGTGTTTGTTGAAACTATTTACACTTCCATTACCCCTCCCCCATGGGTCAAACCCTTTTAACCTGTTCCACTCTGAGCCTGTTTTTCAGGTCTCAGGCTCGAAAATGACATTCCCAGAACAAATGACCATATCTTCCCTTCTAAAAGGGTTAAATTAATAATCTTTGTTCTCAAAGTAATGATAAACCTGTGAGTTGGATGTAGAAGTGTCAGAATCAATATAAATGTTTTTTATTTTAAAGAAAATTCAGATTTTACATAGTAAAAAAACTGTAAATTATAGTGTCCGTCCAAAAATTATTTTTTACAGATAGTGAAAACTACCCTTGGATGATGGGTTAGTAGACTAAAAGCTTTAGGAATCCAAAGTACAACATATAATAAGTACCCTGTATCAAGATTGATGCAAAACAAGTGATATTTGACCTTTTTAGAGAGATTTAGCCAAAAACTGGGCCATCTGGGGTCATTTGGGTGGATTTGACCTATCTCTGGCCCCCCTTGCTCGATTTGGTTGGTTGACATACCCTTGTGACCGTTAGAGCCAATAGAATCGAAGGGGGAGGCTCCCACCCAGACACGTTGTAAAGAAAAAATGTGGTTGCTTCGCGTGTGGAAAACGAAACCAAAGTGGAGGAATGTCTCCTTCTGGAGTTTGGAAACTAAAACGCAGTTGTATTGCTTATGGATTATCAGAAATAATTTCAAAGAAGGCACAGACACATAGGATGAACCTATGGATTAACTGCAGCATCGTTTTTTTATCGTTTTAATGCCATTGAAGACCACTTTTGACCAAGGTAAGCCATATTTACGTGTTTAGCTTCTTAGCTCCACATGTGATGATGTACGCTTTCGTTTAGAGCGTCGCGAATGTTTATCACTGAGTGTTGAGGAGGGCACCGTTAGATTCAGTGTCTCCAGGACACCAAAAAAGAGTGGTTGGTTGTGCATCTAGGATAAGTAATAAGGGAGTTAGAGTGAGTTTAGTTGCCTTAGTATGTTACGTTTTTTTCGCTTGAGGCTAATTCAGAGGCTGAGTGCTAGCAATGTGGGTTTTTTTTGATTTTTTTTTTTAAAAAGATCAGTTAGCTGAGTTTCTTCCCGTTACATGGATATAACACATTCATAGTTTTATTCAATATTAAGATTCCTTAGACGTTGTTTCCTGCAAATGACGCGTTTATCCGCCCGGTACCGGGGGGAAAGTGTGAAACAGGTTAACTAACAAAGGGAGCTCAGCCAAGGCTGAATGATATATTAGATAAATAATTACTAAGTAGTAGATGAATGTTATGGATGTGGTTTCAACAGTTCTGGTGTTTAGCAGTGTGTGTGTGTGTGTGTGTGTGTGTGTGTGTGTCTGCATCTATTATGTATATTTAACCCCGTCTGGGCAACGGCACAGCTGAATATACATAATACTTTTTTATCCAAAAGTAAACTGCTGTTAACTTGTCCCCACGCTGTGTTTTGAAACAGTGATGGGTTAGTATATCTAACCCCGGTTTATTGGAAAATAATACGGGAGTTAATGGTAATCTTACATGGTAGTTAGCGTTAATTTATATATTTAAATATACATTAATGTAAACGCGCACGGAGGATTTCGCCACAAGTAACTCGCGGTAATTGCGCCTCACCAAGTCAACAAAAACACAATAAACTCACACAGAAATCCTACCACATGAACTTTAAGCGGCTTAAGTTGAATTAACTTTACATTAACAATGTAATTCATCCCAAAGTACCGTTAGACTCGATACACGTAGGAAACACGGACCACTTTATAGCGTATTTTATTTTATATTTAAACTAAAACACGTCAGACAAAGCCCAGATAACATAACATTACATGTCGCTTCTCTGTTAATTCATGTTAATATAACTTAACTTACCTTATAATTTGGTCGTAATGTCCAGAGTTGAAAAATATGTATGCATTTACGTCGCTGTGAAGGCGGGGGGATGAGCAGACAGGGTCTCACTGGCAAAAGTGCGCCACAGCGCCACTCGCGGCAGCGGCCAAATATATATGACATCGGCTCTGGTTCAACAGTGCCATAGAGACTGGTTTGTTGCTTCCATTAAAGATTCATGAAAGAATCCCTGGCCGCCGCGCGGGAGACCGGGGTTCGATTCCCCGACGGGGAGAATTTTCAATAACAGCCTGCCTTTATTCACCTACGGAGGCAAGCATCAATCAACTCATGAACGAGGATGCCACCAAGAGGCCCTTGGAAACACTTTCGGATAAGCACGTACCTGAACCATGGCAATTGAACTTTCGTAAGGTCATCATTATAACATCCATGACAAAGCTACCAAGTGCATGCTTCAAATCATTGAAGGAGAACTACAATAAAGGACCACGGCAATGCGCTCAACGATTGCACTTTTGACAGACAAAATCAAGCAAGGAAAGAAATCCCTTTATATTTTCCATTTTGACCGGACAAACTATGAGCAGGAACGAAAATAAAGTCCTTGGTTGCAGAATTGAAGTACCCTCAGCATAACTGCTATTAACAACCTTCAGTTGTTCACAGGACGACATGCCTCTTCGATTTGAATACACGGAGAGCCAGAGCCTTGCAATTCAAAAGCCATGCTCAACAAACAATTTTCTTGCTCATCCAACAATTGTCTTGAAAAGACTCAACATTCAACTGCCATATTTCTGAAAGTGCTTTTTACTCTATCTAGATTCCCGATAACTTTTCTTGGTTGAGTTCTTTGAAGTTGATCAGGACCAAAGAAGAGTGTTTCTGCCCGGTTTTGAGCCAGGGACCTTTCGCGTGTGAGGCAAACGTGATGACCACTACACTACAGAAACTGCTGAATAGCTAAGTACACGTTTGCGCGTGGATACAACATTGATATTTCGTTGTAAACCTTCAAAACGACGGACCACATGTTGATTTCTGAGACTCTGAGAGATTTTACACTGGATACAGTCACAGCTGCAGCGTCATGGACTTTCGTGACAGCAACTGTATACTGAACCCAAATGCTATCCTGGATATGACCTGTAACCCCTCGAAAACCGCCACCTAGGGTTGACGTGCTAGGATTGACGTGCTGGGATTGACGTGCTAGGATTGCAGCTAGGGCATTCCTCGTTAGTATAGTGGACAGTATCTCTGCTTGTCACGCAGAAGACCGGGGTTCGATTCCCCGACGGGGAGAATTTTCAATAACAGCCAGCCTTTATTCACCAAAGGAGGCAAGCATCAATCAACTCATGAACGAGGATGCCACCAAGAGGCCCTTGGAAACACTTTCGGATAAGCGCGTACCTGAACCATGGCAACTGAAATTTCGTATGGTCATCATTATAATATCCATGACAAAGCTACCAAGAGCATGCTTCAAATCATTGAAGGAGAATTACAATCAATGACCACTGCAATGCGCTCAACGATTGCACTTTTGACAGACAAAATCAAGCAAGGAAAGAAATCCCTTTATATTTTCCATTTTGACCGGACAAACTATGAGCAGGAACGAAAAGAAAGTCCTTGGTTGCAGAATTGAAGTACCCTGAGCATAACTGCTATTAACAACCTTCAGTTGTTCACAGGACGACATGCCTCTTCGATTTGAATACACGGAGAGCCAAAGCCGTACAATTCAAAAGCCATGCTCAACAAACAATTGTCTTGAAAAGACTCAACATTCAACTGCCATATTACTGAAAGTGCTTTTTACTCTATCTAGATTCCCGATAACTCTTCTTGGTTGAGTTCTTTGAAGTTGATCAGGATCAAAGAAGAGTGTTTCTGCCCGGTTTTGAGCCGGGGACCTTTCGCGTGTTAGGCGAACGTGATGACCACTACACTACAGAAACTGCTGGAAAGCTAAGTACACGTTTGCGCGTAGATGCAACATTGATATTTAATTGTAAACCTTCAAAACGACGGACCACATGTTGATTTCTGAGACTCTGAGAGATTTTACACTGGATCCAGTCACAGCTGCAGCGTCATTGACTTTCGTGACAGCAACTGTATACTGAACCCAAATGCTATCCTGGATATGACCTGTAACCCCTCGAAGAGCGCCACGTAGGGTTGACGTGCTAGGATTGCTACTAGAACATTCCTCGTTAGTATAGTGGACAGTATCTCTGCTTGTCACGCAGAAGACCGGGGTTCGATTCCCCGACGGGGAGAATTTTCAATAACAGCCAGCCTTTATTCACCAAAGGAGGCAAGCATCAATCAACTCATGAACGAGGATGCCACCAAGAGGCCCTTGGAAACACTTTCGGATAAGCGCGTACCTGAACCATGGCAACTGAAATTTCGTATGGTCATCATTATAATATCCATGACAAAGCTACCAAGAGCATGCTTCAAATCATTGAAGGAGAATTACAATCAATGACCACTGCAATGCGCTCAACGATTGCACTTTTGACAGACAAAATCAAGCAAGGAAAGAAATCCCTTTATATTTTCCATTTTGACCGGACAAACTATGAGCAGGAACGAAAAGAAAGTCCTTGGTTGCAGAATTGAAGTACCCTGAGCATAACTGCTATTAACAACCTTCAGTTGTTCACAGGACGACATGCCTCTTCGATTTGAATACACGGAGAGCCAAAGCCGTACAATTCAAAAGCCATGCTCAACAAACAATTGTCTTGAAAAGACTCAACATTCAACTGCCATATTACTGAAAGTGCTTTTTACTCTATCTAGATTCCCGATAACTCTTCTTGGTTGAGTTCTTTGAAGTTGATCAGGATCAAAGAAGAGTGTTTCTGCCCGGTTTTGAGCCGGGGACCTTTCGCGTGTTAGGCGAACGTGATGACCACTACACTACAGAAACTGCTGGAAAGCTAAGTACACGTTTGCGCGTAGATGCAACATTGATATTTAATTGTAAACCTTCAAAACGACGGACCACATGTTGATTTCTGAGACTCTGAGAGATTTTACACTGGATCCAGTCACAGCTGCAGCGTCATTGACTTTCGTGACAGCAACTGTATACTGAACCCAAATGCTATCCTGGATATGACCTGTAACCCCTCGAAGAGCGCCACGTAGGGTTGACGTGCTAGGATTGCTACTAGAACATTCCTCGTTAGTATAGTGGACAGTATCTCTGCTTGTCACGCAGAAGACCGGGGTTCGATTCCCCGACGGGGAGAATTTTCAATAACAGCCTGCCTTTATTCACCTACGGAGGCAAGTATCAATCAACTCATGAACGAGGATGCCACCAAGAGGCCCTTGGAAACACTTTCGGATAAGCACGTACCTGAACTATGGCAATTGAACTTTCGTAAGGTCATCATTATAACATCCATGACAAAGCTACCAAGTGCATGCTTCAAATCATTGAAGGAGAACTACAATCAAGGACCACGGCAATGCGCTCAACGATTGCACTTTTGACAGACAAAATCAAGCAAGGAAAGAAATCCCTTTATATTTTCCATTTTGACCGGACAAACTATGAGCAGGAACGAAAATAAAGTCCTTGGTTGCAGAATTGAAGTACCCTCAGCATAACTGCTATTAACAACCTTCAGTTGTTCACAGGACGACATGCCTCTTCGATTTGAATACACGGAGAGCCAGAGCCTTACATTTCAAAAGCCATGCTCAACAAACAATTTTCTTGCTCATCCAACAATTGTCTTGAAAAGACTCAACATTCAACTGCCATATTTCTGAAAGTGCTTTTTACTCTATCTAGATTCCCGATAACTTTTCTTGGTTGAGTTCTTTGAAGTTGATCAGGACCAAAGAAGAGTGTTTCTGCCCGGTTTTGAGCCGTGGACCTTTCGCGTGTGAGGCAAACGTGATGACCACTACACTACAGAAACTGCTGAATAGCTAAGTACACGTTTGCGCGTGGATACAACATTGATATTTCATTGTAAACCTTCAAAACGACGGACCACATGTTGATTTCTGAGACTCTGAGAGATTTTACACTGGATACAGTCACAGCTGCAGCGTCATGGACTTTCGTGACAGCAACTGTATACTGAACCCAAATGCTATCCTGGATATGACCTGTAACCCCTCGAAAACCGCCACCTAGGGTTGACGTGCTAGGATTGACGTGCTGGGATTGACGTGCTAGGATTGCAGCTAGGGCATTCCTCGTTAGTATAGTGGACAGTATCTCTGCTTGTCACGCAGAAGACCGGGGTTCGATTCCCCGACGGGGAGAATTTTCAATAACAGCCTGCCTTTATCCACCTACGGAGGCAAGCATCAATCAACTCATGAACGAGGATGCCACCAAGAGGCCCTTGGAAACACTTTCGGATAAGCACTGAAGTAAGAAGATATGATTCTACACTGTATTGAAGTAA